CGTCGTTCCCAATGTGCATCACTGTGTGGTTGAACTATGATCGGTTAACTGCGACCAAAGAGGACAAGGTCGTCACATTCATTCTCTGATAAGAGAAACGTTTTCAGAGGGTTTTCATCCTTTAAACTGTGGGGCAAGATTCCCAGACTCCACCTATAGCTTTGTGTGTGTTCTGTGAAGTGCAAGATAAGCCTTTTCATCCAAGTAAGCATTCTATCAGAAAGATTTTGTCATGATAGAACATGATACACTGTTGATCTATGCTGTTCACAATTCAAACAAGAAGTATAAGGCGCAATAAATCGGATTTAGCTTAGCATTGGACGCAAGGGACCTTCAAAACTTGCATCTGTATAGAACCATCAACCGACTAACAGCTGGAGCCATGGCAACCGTTTCAAATGGCCAGAATGATAAAAGGCCAGAGCACGGGCTGATGGGATTCAATGCAATTGAGGCAGTGCGAGGAACTCAAATTGAACTTTTGGAAAAGAATCAGAAGTCAATTATCTTGAGTTCATTTTACACAAAAACTCGAGGGTTCATGTGAAAATACTGGTTCAGTGTTGTTGTTAACTAAAACTACTAAAATAGATGTTAAATGAAATAAAGCTGAAATAAAAATATAAATCTCAATATTAGATGAAAAAACAAACACAAATAAGTTTTAAAGTACTAAATTACTCAAATTGAAAGCTAAATAGAATTTTTTTTAAAAAGCAAAAACTAATAAAAATGAAAAAAGCACAAAATTACTAAGACTAAAATAAAAATGGAAACTAAAAGCTAATTCAAAATATTAATAAGTACTATAATACTTATAACACTGCCATGGCTGCTACTAAACTACTGCACAATATATAATTAATTGGGAAACAACGAGAAATTTAAATATTGAATTACTTGAAACTGTGGATTAAAGCAAGGGTGGTAGCATTATGACAAGCCTGTTGTTGACCCAATGCATGCATGCCGAACTGCACTGTTTGTCCACATGTGCTTGGGAGTTTCCATCCAACATACAGTATATAATGAGGGTGTCACGGTGTGGGAATATATAATTTTATACAAAAACACAAAACAGTCACACAGACACACCTTGAGCACAAAAACACCTTCAATTAAAGTCTCATACACTTTTCCACGTTTAGCATGAAGATCCTTACTTGTACTTAGGAGTAACAGATATTCAGATAACTGTGTAGGTTGTCCTGACGCAGTCAATTTGCTCTTTACTGTGTGTTTGCATGCATGCGTGTGATTATCCAGTGGAGGAGGGGATAGGAGAAACAAGGGCTCTTTGTGGGGATCCCGGCGCATGTTATCCCGATGTTTCACTCAAGACCACTCATCTATGATTTAAATGATTTAAATCTATGAACACAATCTATGATTTAGGAACAATCTGACGAAAAACTAATTAAATTGTCTTTTTTTTTTTTTTACTCTCCTCATGTCTGTCCTGTGAAATTCAAGAATATCCTGGATGCTCTTTTCACACACAACAAATGACAAAAACACGCCATAAAAGCATCCTAAAAGTGGTCCATATGAATTGAGTGCAATATTGAGAGTTTTTTTGAAATTATATGATAACCTTTATGTGAATAATAGACTGCAATTTGGCATTAGTCACTAGAAATACTGACGTTCAAGAGAGAAGCAGTGATATCCGAATCATGAATGAATCATTCCTTTGAGTCAGGTCTCTAAATGAATCAGTTGATCCAATTCACGAAACTAGTCGGAACGATTCATTCACACATCTGACTGATCCGGTTTTTGAATTCTCGAACTCGCTAACTCAGGGGTCCGGGCATAATCATTAACAGCTCAATGAAGAAAAAGATTAGCAGTGAATAACAAGTTGGCATTAAAGGGAAATTCATCTGTTCATCTGTTTTCAAAATGTATGTTATTGATGTTTTTGTAAATGATTCATCCATGCAAATGCTTCTGAGGTTTGTTTGACCTTTTAAATCAGTCAGCCATAATAAGGTATCTTATGATTTCAGGAGACGTAAATATAGTTCAAATATAGTTATAAGGCCCACTATTATAGTGTAGGTGCTTGTGTAACTTTTAAATGCATTGAAAAGAGTGTCAAATACTAAAATACAAACTTCTGCTTTTGCGTTCCACAGAAGAAAGCCATATGGGTTTGAATCAACATGAGGGTGAGTAAATGACTTTTTGGAAGAACTAATGCTGGAAATGAGAGAACAACAAAGGATAATGGACTGAGGGAAAAAAGAGGATGACTTGAAAGGGGCGAGCAGAAGCACAGAAGTTGAGTGAGAACAAAACAAAGGATATTTCCATCATTGGCGGAGCCAACAAACAGATGCATGAATGGAAGGAGTGTGTGTGGATCTAGACCAACCTCAGCGGTGTCTTCAACCCTCCCACTCCACCAACAGCAGCCCTTTGCTTTTCTTCAACATCACGCCATTCTTACACTTCACATTCCAGCGCTTGAGAGGCAGCCTTGTTCCTTTTTCCAACACACTAGACGCCGGATTTGTGTTTGCGTACGTGTTTGTGAGTGCACGCTAAGGCTCTGTTTCCCAGGGGTGGCTTGTGTGGTTTATTAGTTTGGATGTTTAGTAAAAAAGGAACTCCTTTAAAGGGGTTCCCACAGTGCATCTTGCCTGCTGCACGAGGACAGATGAAAAGAGATGGTGGCATATTGAGACCACAGTCTGTGCTTTTTTTGCCCTTGTCCCTCTCTCTAACATATATGTAGACTACTAGACAGCTCAGTGCACATCTGGAAGGAGTTATATTGCATCCTAACACAAGAGGGAGCCACAGCGCTCTAGACGTCACAGGATAATAAGCTAAAAACAGCCAAACTACCCATTACCCATCACACGTGCAGGATGAAAAACATTCAAAATCAGTATGAAATCAAAAATTACTGCATTTATGTTCATAAAGCATGTTTCTGGTCTTATGTGAATGATTCATTCGCCCATGTTTTAAAAAAAAAAAAACAGTGCATAATAATACAATCATGCTAATTCTTACAATCTTCTCTCCTCAGCCTCTACAAAAATAACTTGGATTTCACCCTGCCCTCTGTTGGAAGCAACTGCAATGAGGAATTCATTCATCAACTACCTCCAAAGGTGAGAAATATTTGAAGACTGAGCTTTTCTGGTGTGGAAAGATACAAATCAGTCAAGGTACATGCTAGCATGACAAATCAGACTGAATGAAGCGACCTCAGATCCGATTTCCAATCCACCTTCATAAATTAAATGACAGAATGACAACAAAAGTGAAAATGTAAGAAAAATCACTATAAAATTGTTTTATACATTCATTTTAAAAACATGAAAATTATAATACTGCTTTAGCAAGCACCGCTATTAAGAACTCCGGCTTTCTTGTGCTTTGTATTGGACAAGCAAGGATAAAGTTAGCATGCTAGTCAAAGTTGGGATGCTCTTTAAATGTGGCCTCTGCTCTTATCTTAAGAGTCTCTTAAGATAGAATGTTCCAGAGTGTAATTTCTTTCAAATGCTGACAATGTAGCTATACAACCTCATGATGCGTTCCAAGTCTGCATGCCAGACTGCAGATAAGTGTAAATGTAGCTTGATTTCAGAGGCAACCTAGAAGCTACAGTACCTTGACGAGAGAGGTCAGAAGGGGGTACAAAAGATCAGACAGTCAATAATGGGTTAATTCTTTTTACCCCAAATAGGGCCTAGATTCAAATAAAACTGGAAGAATGCAGCTTAAGCAAGCTAATGGTTTAAATTCTCTGCAAATTAGCATTCTCTGCTAATTTGTTTGAAGACAAAAGGTGTCTCCACAAGTGTCTCCTCAGAATGAATGAAACCCCATTATGTCACTCAGTCAATCACTTACAAGAAAAAGATAATTTCAGCACTCATGCTTGAGTGCACTACAATCAAAACAAAGATGCTAGTTGCAACCTACTAGCAAACACGTGTCAGTTTCCATTGCTTTAAGGCCCGTTCACACCAAAAAACGATAACTGTAACGATAGCGTCCACACCATCGGATGATAGCATTCTGTTTATTATAAGTATGCACTGCAGTTTTCTTGTATGCTGAGCTCTTTAAAGTCGGGAGAATTCTGACCTGTTGTCAATGTTTTTATCGTTCAGTAGATAAAAAAAAAAAGATCTGAAAGTGATTCCAATGATATTGTTATAGCTGTGGTGCGGACTTCCCTATTCTTATTTCACGTTCTCAAGAATTAGAATGATTATTATAACTTTATACCTGCAGTTATCATTACAGTACATAATTGTTGGTGTGAATGGGCCTTTATATACTGTATCAAGAGGTTTAACTTTATCTTTCACCTCCTCAACAATAATTTTAGATCATATCAGGTACTCCAAAACCAAAATATGAGGCACAGGAAGCAGTCAAAACAATATGGATTCCCACAGGAAGATGACAAAATAAACATCTGAAGTTCCTTCTAATCAGAAACTCCTAAAGACTGAAGATAGTCATCTTACTTCATCACTCTTGCTGGCCCGAATAAACACCCAAGCTATCACATCTTCCCTTCCTCCCTCTGTTTTCTCGCCACTGATATCATCCCTCTGACACACAACTGGAAAAAAAAGGGTGAAGTCATCTTTCCTCCTTGAGAAAAGGACAGCACACACACACAACCACAGTGTGAGCTGTAGGGTGGCAGTGTTCCCATATCTACCAGTTTGACCTTACGAGACACAGTTCAGCAGTTCCAACTCAGACCTGCGTCAGAATGCTGAGGCACTTTCAGCAACCAGGCGGAGAAATCAGATTTACGACAGAAGGTCAGGTCCAAAACATCCCTGAATTTCTGCTCAGTGGAGCCTTTCAGGAAACTACCACCGTCCTAGCTACTGAGTGAGAATTCAGGGTGGCTGGACGCAAACTCTGAGTGAATCATACCAAGAGGTCTAAATGTTAATGATTTATTTAGTGGATGGCAGGTTGAGGAAAATAGCCAAAGAATAACTCACCATTTGGGAATTCACTATGTCTGCTGAGGAGTCTTGGTGTCCATCCACCGCATCCTCTGCTAAAGCGCCATCAACTGTGAGGTGGAATCAAGAAAGATGACATTTATAATTTGAAACTAATAAAAGGCTGTAGCACTTTTAAGTTTTAAAAGTAATTGCTTTGCCATTCTGTCAAACTTACTGTAGATGAAGAGGCTAGTTTTTTGTGCATGTACAAACAACAAAACGCTTCAGGTAAATAAGTGAAACCCACAGTTTCAAGGAAATTCATGTGTGAATTTTAATGGAAACTTCCAAAAAATCAATACGTAATTCATTAACTCAGCTGCTGATTCATGTCCAAAGAGCAAACATTTCTGTGGCGCAGGTTTATTTGTTTACTCAGAAATGAACAAATCGTAATAAGACCATTTAGATATGTTATTAACCCCATGTTTTGATAAAAGGAAGTGACTTATTCCTCCTTTCAAACTGAGATCAGCACCTCCACGAATATGATATAAATAACACATACAGTAAGCAGCTATTAGTAGAACAATGCTGAATTCTCACCCATGTGGAAAAGAGCTGGGCGTCTACTTTGTTTAAAAAAAAAATATATATATATATATGTTCAAAAGACAATCTTTCTAATGTTTTCATTCAATGAGGTGAGGCAGAGCTGACATCACCAGGTTGCCATGATACAACGTGCTGCAAATACACATTATCATTTGCAAACACTCCCTATTAACACTGCTACCTGAATGACAAGGAAGGTTTTTCCCTTCCGGATGGAAACCTAAACCGTTGATCGAGCTTTGTTTCAAATGACAGAAATTTGCCTAATTGTTACTAAAAATAACATTACAGACAAAATGGGAATAAATATTGACCTATATAAGAATAACTCAATGTTATGTCCATAGAAAATAGTTTGTAAGGCAAACACCATTGTATTCACATGCACACACACAAGCATGAATCAGAATACAATGAAGCCAATGACAAATTAGCTTAAGCTGTAAACAATCTAATTAGAATGACATGACAAACATACTTCATTTTGAAGCAGCACAAAGTTTCAGACTTTCAAACAACTGTTACACAGGATGACAGTAAAAAGTAGCATTATCAAATAGCATCAGATTCCCTAAAATAATTGTTTACACAGTCAGCACTGAGAGAATGATAAATCAAAAGGCATTACCTGTCATTTGTTCGACAGGTGGTTCCTCTGCACACTGCTGAAGAGTTTCACTGTGATCCATCAAACAATCAGGAGTATCTTGATGTAATCCATTCAGGCTCTCAGGTGTTTCTGAAGGCTGCAGTTCCTCAGACAAACCATTGTCTATATCCACTGGGGAAGTGTGTTCCAAACCCTGGTGCAATCCACTATTAATATCCAAAGGGGAAGTGAGCTCAGCTGTTGAGGATGAGGCATTGAGTGGGTCAGGCATGGAGGAGCTCTCCAGAGCTGAACCACTGCTGGTGTCCATGGGAGAGCATGGGCTGTCCCCCGAGACAGTCATCTCGCACATATCGGTAGCCATGTCAACACATTCATCCCCACCAGGAATTACAGCAGAGATCTTTACTCCATCAGTGAAGGGGGTCTCAGAAGGTCTGCTGCCTTGGCTTTCTGTTAGAGGCGAGGCACAAGACAGGTCAAGGTCATTCACACATTCAACAGTAGGTTCTGATGGTGTACCATTGTCTATATCCACTGGGGAAGTCTGTTCCAAATCCTGGTGCAATCCACTATTAATATCCAAAGGGGAAGTGAGCTCAGCTGTTGAGGATGAGGCATTGAGTGGGTCAGGCATGGAGGAGCTCTCCAGAACTGAACCACTGCTGGTGTCCATGGGAGAGCATGGGCTGTCCCCCGAGACAGTCGTCTCACACATATCGGTAGCCATGTCAACACATTCAACCCCACCAGGAATTACAGCAGAGATCTTTACTCCATCAGTGAAGGGGGTCTCAGAAGGTCTGCTGCCTTGGCTTAGGGGTGAGGCACAAGATAGGTCTAGGTCATTCACACATTCTGCAGTAGGTTCTGATGGTGTGTTTGCACTCTCTTTGGAGGATTCTGGGAGCTGGAACTGTGCATTGGATTCAGGACAATCATTGTGTGTGATTTCCGGCAGATCAAGAAGCTTGTTGATTGTGTCCTGTGAAGTGGAGTCAATTTCCCTTTCCTGTAGAGGGTCATCTGGAGCAACATCTTTAAATCCCGGTTCACCTTGCAAAGTGGACACTAGAACCGATGGTTCCCCTGGCTCACAAATTTGATTTTCATTTGTGGTATCTCCAGAATATTCCTCAGGAATCTGCTCAACCAGTTTGGACGTAGAGTCTGGCTGAACAAATGTTTCAGATGCCTCTTCTCCTCCGAAAGGAGTTCCTATGATTATATCAACTCCAAAATGTTCAGAAGACAGTATCGTAGACACATCCTGTTGTAAATCACTTACGATAAAGGCTTCAGAGTCAACAGGCAGAGAAGATTCATCAGAAGATTTGGATTTGTCATCCAACTGTGAGACAACAATGTCATCAATTGATTCCTGCTCTTCAAAGATCTCCTTAGGGTGGTTTATCCTCTCATTAGAGGCTACCTCCTCCTTGCTTCCATCAGGTAGAGACCCGGCAATCTGGCGAGATGAAACCTCTGCAGTGATGCCAACAGAAACACCTGCTATTGCACTGATGTCACAGTCTGAGTCATTCAAAATCTCCTGACATTCTAATGCAGTTTCTGAAGATTGTGTGACTTGGTGTGGCTGTTGAAAACCTTCTGTAGTCTCAGACAAGGGCTCCACAGCTGGACCTTCATGAGGAGAAGTCTCAGGAACGGGTGAGAGCCCTCGTCTAACCTTATGCACCGGTCCTGGTGCCATGTTTGGCTGGAGACTTAACGATTCCAAAGGATCACCTCCTGAAATGCTAAATCCAGAGTTCTGCTTTATGCTAACGTCATCCGTAACCAAACCAGAAACTGACTCAGTGTTGCCTTTGGTGTGTTCGCTAAGATTTCCTGTCTCTGTCTCTAAGCTACCATGCGGCTTGTCAACACCATCAGAAATAACAGTTTCATCGTTTCGTACGGACGACGTAACCTCAATATTTACCTGAATTAAAGTCAGTTTAGCTTTGTCTGTTCCCACCGAGCATTCCGTAGGCAGCTTGGGCTCAAACTTTTCGTCGTGCTGATCGTTTTCCTCTGGATAATGGGAAGAAAGTGCTTTAGAGTTTAAGCCTATTTCCTGGCTGCTACTCGTCTCCCCTTCCCTTTCCTCTGGTAAGTCCCCTCGCCAACTAAGATCAGCACTCCCCTCGCTCTCCTCCTCTCTTTGTGAAGGCTGACTAGTTTCCGTGGGGAGGAGACCCTGAGATTGTGCGTGGCCCATGTCTTGGGACTCAAGGTTGCCAGATTGAGCGTTATTGTCTTTTTCAGTCTGTAAACTCCTCTGCCAAGCCTCCTGCTCTTCTTGGTTCCCTTTATCAGGCTGTGAAGCAGCCCCCTGTTTGGCACTGATTACGCAGAGTTCTATATCAGCTTCCTCCCGCTGGTTTCCACAGGAAGGGGCACTGAATGTCACAGAATCGCCTTCTACCCGGTGCTGCGAACAGTCAGCCTTATCTGACGCCTTCCCAGTATCCCCTACAGCTGGCGGGTCAAGCTCCACCTCCCTGTCCTGTGATTGGACATGATTTCCTGTGCCATTTTGACGAATACACAGTCCATCCTCAACGGCAGAGCTGTTCGATTCGCAGGTTTCTTCTTGTTCAGAGTTGGGTTCCTGATGCTCAGGCTCCAGTGAATTGGCTGGTACGCAGTCAGCAGGTTCTGTTCTATCACTGGAGTTTTGGTTAAGAATCAGCAGTGCTGGCTTATGCTGTGGTGGAGGATCTTCCTGAATAAACAAAGTTCAAAAACAGCTATTAAATAAAGCAGCACGCCTTATACTGCCCTCATTAAAACTGACATTAAACATTCAACCAGAAAAACAGAGCAAGAGTGCGTGCACAGAGATAGAAAGAGACAGTCTAGTTTGTGATCTGCATTTAGTCACTTCCTTTAGTCACAAATAGCTACCTCCTGCAGTGTTCTACCACAAAAGCAAACATCCCTGCTGATTGTACCCAGCTTGAAATATCACTGTGATCTTAAAGTGGCAGAGCAAGAAAATAGGACCCACCTACTGCCATAGAGGACTTCAAAATCACTGACTCACCTTCTGATGTGACTGAATGAGGAGTTGGAGCTCCTCCACATCACACTGAAGGCTAGGTGGGGGACTCCCTGGCACATCCTCTAGCGTCAGGGTGTAAGTGTTTAGCTTGGGGTGGTGTCGCAGAACTCTGCCTTCTGGGTAATGCCACTTGGATGTTTTCGTCTCCAACTCAGGCAGATTGTCAACCCTGCCCAACACAAACATAGCAAACTTTGAGAACACCCAATCTCAAGGCACTGAATCAGCAAGGCCACACCCAGCACACCTACAGAGGATGTGAAGTAATGCACAATACTGATTGTGGTTACTGTGGAGAACACAGAATGTCGACTTAAGTGTGAAAAATTACTTGTTTAAACATCGTAGTTAAACTTGAAACAGGTTTGAATCCGGCACAATGCCACAATGAGCTCGGACAACAAGAATTTCATTGCTGCTTTAGACAAAGATATGAAAAACTCACTCTCACTAGTGTAAAAACCTGTTCTGCTTTTTTCTTGTGTAGGGAGAGAAAAAAAGCGTGATTACATTAAAGGTGAAATTGAAGTTCCTGGTGCCAGTGTCAACATGTCAAACAAATAAATGTGAATAATAGATTTAAGGTGGACGCACGACTGAACATTATGTATCGTAGTAATAGCAAATTACTAAGGCGGAATCATCTTCATCAGACCCAAAAAGCTACAAGCTTTCGAAAGAGAAAATGTGCAACTGTTTGTCTTTTTGTGTTTGTAAGTGGCTCAGATTGTCCCCAGAGCCCTGACACATGGGTAACAACAGGAACTATTTTCACCTGCTGTGTATCTAAGGTCCAAAATGGTATCCATAGCAACACTGTGACATCATTTATAGGAAACTAAAGAGTGCAAAGTGAAAAGGAGAAGCTCTTAAGGTCTTGCAGACTTGAGAGGAATATTTTAAGCAGCCTGAGCATTAGCCAAATGACAGATGTGATGAAAGGCTGAACTCTTAAGGACTGGAGAGCTGAACAATTTGTCCTGTATAACTGCTGTTTGTCTTCTATCACTAACTGAACCGATTAATCTATAAATACAACATAATGACATAAAGTGGTAACATTATAAAATAATATTTAGATATATTCAAACTCATATATATAATTGAAACCTGAGCTTTAATACATAATACCAACTTTTATTTGATAACACAAAATTGAGTGTTGATCATGTTTTATGTTATGCATTATACTAAAGGTGAAATCATAAATAGGCAAGTAATATAATGTATTATAACAGATCACAATGAATATTATAAGATATGATATACTGTATTTGAATGATTTCATAGAAAGTACATCAAAATATCTTAGAGAAACCACCAACGAAATACCATGAGCTTTGATGGAAAGATTTGAGGCAACATCTAAGTGTGTGCTGTGGTTCAGTACACTTGCTTTAAATGAGGCACTAAACCAAAGCACTTAACGGCCTTCTATAACAGACCCTTGAATCCAGAGAGCACAGATCACATGCTAGCTCTGGTCTCTCTTCTATCCTTCTGTCTGTGATCACATTTCACTGGCTTAACCAAAGTTGGGCAGCCAGTGACCCGGTAGACATCAGTCTGGGTGACACAGCTAACAGGAAATGGGTCCTAGAGTGTTGCATCTCTCTAGTATTAATACAATTATTTAGCCTAACTGTCATATGTATAGGCTTGGATTCAAATCTAATTTAATAGACATGAGGTCATGGGTATACATCTGATTAACTATGAACAGAAAAAAAATGGGATCAAATCGAGCATAGCTCTCCAAATTCTCCCACTCATATATCATAAATATATGAGCAGAGCTTTAAAGGGGAGACCTGTTTAGTTTTCAACCCTGAGGAGTACACAGACTGCCTTGGTACCCTGTTTTAGAATAGTCAAGTAGGGAAACATAGGTTTGCCAGCCATAGACTGTGAAGAGCACTGGCTGGAGGAAACTGATAAAGGTAAACGTTTCTGTTACACACGTACAGGTAATGCCACTTTACTGAGTAAATCTGTAGACAGGATCTTGCTGGTTTGAAATGCAAAGGCTTGCTTTAAAAAGCTTATGTGGCTTTAACTGTTTACAAAGAGCTCAGAGCCACATGGCCTGTCCTTGTGCTTTGCTCTTGTCTCCCCCACATTTCAACATCCTCCTTTCTTCAGAACACAACACTAACACTTTCTTCAGAACACAACACTAAATCTCGCCTCATTCACATGATAAAAGTCATTGCTTTAATATTATAAATCTGACTCAGTCTAACATTGCTCTTTTTGAGAATCTAAACAAACCCAATACAAACATTGCCTCAACAGATCTGTTTGGCTGACCCCGGGGGTGTTTAGGACATTGGAAAAGTAAAAACTTTACCTTTACGAGTGCGACTTAACTTTTTATGTTTGAGAGCAACTAATTTGATAAAGCTGTATTTGTTTAAGGCATTTCAAAGGTCACAACGTCCGTTCTGTTTGATAAAGTCTGTGGCTTATAACAGCCTATTCTTGGCATTAATCTGGTCAGGTTTCATAGATCAAGGGGGACAATAATGTCAATCAACAATGGCTGTATGAATTTGTCTCAAATGCATGTTTGTATTAGTTTTACAACAGAACAAGGCAAAAATAATCTAAACATCATTACATAATTTTATTTCTCAGGCAATTCTCAGGACTCATTTAAGGTGTTACAATAATAATAAATATTATATATGCTGTATATATGTTAAATTAAACCCATGTAATTACAAACTAGAAGTAATTCACCAGTAATAAAAAAGGTAAACCATGAAGAACATTCAGTTATTGGGATTATGAAACTGAATTTTTAAATTTTTATAATTATGTATTTTAACATATATTGCCACTCTGTTTCTGTAACTAAAAACTCTCAAAATAATCCTCTTTGTCATTATAGCAGAAGTATCAGAAAGATTTTGGGGAGCCTTCATAAATTGTCTTCGACAATGGGAGGCCTTGGAGACCAGAAGGTTACTTAAAAACTAGCCAAAAATACTGGTTATGGATATAATTTTCTTGCACACTTACTCCGTCAGCAGTTTCTGGAGCTGCGTATGGCCTTTCTTCTGGGCGACCCTGGCCGGCGTACGACCCTGTTTGTTGGGAAGTCGGAGGGCCTCTCTTCCTCCAGGTTGCTGGAGGAGAAACAGTGCTACCTTACGTAGCCCGCGCTTTGCAGCAAAGTGCAAAAGTGTGTCTTGTGGTCCAGGTTCTATAGGGAAGGCAAACAGAATCCAGTTAAGGTTGCGATCTCAGCTCAATCTCTCTCCCTTGTCCTTTTAAACAACTCACTATTATCTAATGCATATTTCTGATAATGTTGCTTGAGGAAAGTGTCACACTCACTGCTTCTTGGGGGCTCTGAAACTGTAAGCCGCGCCCCCTGTAACTTCAGAACCAATGAGAGCCGGCAAAGCCTTCAAACTAGACCCACCCCCACAATTCCCTCGACCTCTGTCAATAGAATCTCCTGACAAACTTGTGCAAACAATTTCAATTAGATGATTTACAATGAGGACAGAAAAATCAGGCAGAGAGGTTTCCAGAGTGAAAGAAGTTATCGTATTTGAAGGCGTTTATCATAAAGACAGATTACAGAGTGCCGTTTTAGAAAGTTCAGGAAGCTTGAATGAGGCTCTCTGTGAAAGCAACAGAGACAGAGGCAGAATTGTTCTTGCTGGTTAATGAGAGGCTGAAAATGAGACTGCCCTCGCTTAATCGGCCCACTGAGGATCCAACAACCAATTTGAAAAAAAAAAAAAACTGTGGTAAAGTGATCTGGCACTGGAAAGAACAGCAGATCGGAGACACAAGAGTGGACATGACACTATATTGAAAATACTGGTGTCGTGTAACTTGTATCCCAAGGCCATGTTAGAATTGTCGTACTCAAGCCACAAAACACTGCCGTTATTACAGTATTTATTTTAAACAGTGGTATCACAAGGTTTCTGAATGTTTACGGAAAATTTAGCAAATAGAGTTCAGAAATGCAGTAGGAGTTTAACTTCCCCGTCTCAAAGAAACAGTTTTGTCATCACTTACTCAACCTCATGTTGTTCCAAACCAGTATGATTTTTATTTCTTACATGCATCTTACACAGTGAACATGATCCACATCCACAAATAAACAAAAACAAACAAGAAACGAATAAAAACCTAAAAATAAGAACAAATAAACAAAAAAAATTAACTCACACCTCAGGTCATTCTAAACATGAATGAATTTTATTTAATGTGTGTATCTTACACAGTGGATTGGAAACACACTTTATTAAAGGGGTCATATGATGCGATTTCATTTTTTCCTTTCTCTTTAGAGTGTTACAAGCTCTTGGTGCATAAAGAAGATCTGTAAAGTTGCAAAGACTAAAGTCTCAAATCCAAAGAGATATTCTTTATAAAAGTTAAGAGTTAGCCACACCTACCTAAAACGGCTCGTTCGAACACGCCCCCACATACCTACCTCACTATGTGGGAAGATTTGCATAAAGCCGCCCAAATGTTCACGCAAAGAAAGAAAGCATAACTTTTATTCTCGCTGTAGTATTGTTGACACTGCAGCCATGTC